ACTCGTGTGTGTGTGTGTGTGTGTGTGTGTGTGTGTGTGTGTGTGTGTGTGTGTATGTGTGTGTGTCCCAGTACTGGGGCTTGAATTTAGGTTCTAGGTGCTCTCCTATAGCTTTGTTTTGTTTTGTTTTTCTCAAGGCTAAATGCTCTACCACTTGACCCATAACTCTACTTCTGGCTTTTTGCTGATTAATTGGAGATTAGAATCTCTTGGACTTTTCTCCTGAGCTGGCTTTAAATTTGATCCTCAGATATCAGCTTCCTGAGGAGCCAAAATTATAGGTAGGAGCCACCAGTGCCCCAAATGAGGCTCTTATTCTTGATCTTTTCCATCCACAAAATAGGCCATGGTCAATGCCCTGTTGCTCTTTTATATATTTAATATTTAAGGTACTTGTATAATGGAGAAAGAAAGAAAAGCATAGACTTCAATTTCAGCAATGAGAATGAGAATATCAAAACAGTCCTGAAATGGCATTTCCCAAAGTTTAATTTGTGGAGATGTATTCTTGTGATGAAGTCTGAAAACCACAGGTTTCAATAATCAAACCTAATTGGGACTCTTTTTTTTTTTTTTGGTTGGTCATGGGGCTTGAACTCTTGGCCTGGGCACTGTCCCTCAGTTCTTCAGCTCAAGGCTAGCGCCCAACCACTTGAGTTACAGCACCACCTTCAAACCTGTTTGGAAAACAGAACATTCTATATCCCTGTCCTGGAGATACATAATACATTAAAGGCATACTAAATGCCCAGAGAAGTCTTACACTAAGGTAACTTAATATAATTTTTCAAATTTAACTGACCTTTAAGCCCATATCTGACTGACACTTTGAGAAATACTGCATTATAGAATCCTATGTTGTTCCTCTACAGCTTTTCTCTCATTAACATTCATTGAAGGATTTGGAATATCACAGTTCATTATAAACGAGTAACCACAAGGGGTAGAATAAACTCAAGCAAAGTTCTTCCTCCTTAAATAGAAGTTACCCTATTTCTCTGAAACTCCATTGTATAAAGAGTTGGTATTACTTGAATTTATGAAACACTTACCTGTTACTTTTATTACAAAAATATTTTCATTCTGTACTATATGTTATTAAGTAAAAACTAGTTTCCCTGTATCTCATGCTTCTGCATTGTAGCAGTTCTCACTATAGTGAGAGCCTTGCTCACCTATGAAATAACATCTGCATGAACTCCAAAGTGAAAGTTTTCCTGCCTACTTTGATCACATGACAGCCTCTTTAATCTTGTCTGGCAAGAGTTTAAATATTGTTTCAGAATTAATCACTGAAACTAATGCTTTGAGGCTTTTCTCAAATATCAAATAGGAGTCTCAACATTTAGCATGCAACAACAAAGACTTTTTCCCCTTCATAATTTGTGTCTCTGTTAGAATTTCATGCGAAATTTAAATTGTGCCAAATTCTTGTTTATGTAATATGTTCTTATTCTTGTCCTTTTTGTTAAAATAAAGTATTCTTGATTAGCCAAAGAAAATAATTTTAGTATAATGATCTAATGATATAAACCCAAAGTTTATATTTGGCCAGAATTTATCCTTTTTTATTTTATTTTTTTAATTTTGTGCCAGACCTAGGGCTTGAGTTCAGAGCCTAGGTGCTATCCTTGAGCTTTGTTTTGCTCAAGACTTGAGCCACAGTTCCACTTCCAATTTTTTGATGATTGGAGATATGAGTCTCAAAGATTTTTGTGCTTGGGCTGGCTTTGAACTGCAGTCCTCAGATCTCAGCCTCCTGAATAGCTAGGATTGCAGGAATGAGTAAGCAGTGCCCCAGTTAGGGCTCAAAAGTAATTCATAGTATCTATATCTATATAATTATAATATATAATTTATAAAGGATATATGTATACATATATACATATTCATTAATTGGAGATAAGGGTCTCAAAGACTTTCCTCCATGGCCTGTCTTTAGTCTGCAATCCTCAGATCTCAGCCTTCTGAATAGCTAAGATTATAGGTTTGGACATCAGTGATTCTTATATTTACTTTCTGGTACCTCAGTGATTCTTTTATGTTATATCATTGAAGATGATGTAATTTGAAAGGTACAAAGCAAGCATTATATAACATTTTAAGTAATCTGAATTAAAATTTGGGTTCTTTCTACTAATGTTTATTCACTTTAAAAAGAGGATGATTTTATTTTGTTTGCTTCCTAAATTTAAAACTTTATGAATATGGAAAATGTGGGTGTAGTTCACAGTGGTACAGTATATTCCTAGCATCGAAAGTATGGGTAAAATCCCTAGTATCCTCAGATACAAAGTTAGTCCATAGAGATTTGTTTTACTTGTACCAGTGTTGGAATTTAGAGCCTCAAGCTTGCTCTACTTGGCTTGTTTGACAGACACTCTAAAATGTGAGCAATACTTCTAGCCTTTTGGCTTGTTGTTTTGGAGATGGAATCTGATGGGTTTTCCTGTGAAGGCTGGCCTTGAAATGGGATTCTCCAGATCTCAGCATTCTGAGTAGTTAGGGTTATGGGCATAAGTGACCAGTCCATTACTTTTAGAGATTACTTTTTAAATAACTCATTGGCTGTGTTTTATATGTAAAATAAAAATAAAAAATTCTGATTTTAAGTATTTTTATATATATACATACATAGGGAGAAATCAGAAAGTATGGATTATTTTGTAAGAATTTTAATATGTTTAAAATAGGTGATTAATGACCTATTAAAATATGTGTGCCACTACTCCTTATATACTTCATGCTTGTGTGAGGATTGATAGATTGCATTTTAAACTTTCTAGGAAATTTTGGAAATCATTCCTTTTAAGATTACGATGATCTTTTTCACACATAGATTCATCTTTATTATATGCAATGCCTGAACTTGTCTTATTTACAAGAAAAGTTATGTCTAACATTGCTTCTTCATTCCCAGTTCAACTCACTTGTTCATTTTGCAGGCAATTATTTCTGTTTATTTCCCACCAAGGACTTGCCTTTGCCAGGGTTCCAATTATGCACATCTTATACTATAATCTGTCTCGCGTGGATCTGACCAATAATGATGAAACAATTCACTGGTGGGGAATTCCTTTCCATCGTTATTACCTTCTGGGGATGTTACTTACTTTAGGAGGTTGTATGATCTGAAATCTTTTTACCAAAGAAGGATTTACATCATCAATATTTGTTAGCTTGCCTGTCTTCTGGGCTCCAGCATGAATACCTACCACAAATAAAGCACCAATTATGTGAAAAAGTGACAAAATGTTTTGCTTATCCTATTTTTCCTTCCTTTTCCATTTACAGATGTCATCCATACTGTAGGGCCAATAGCCAGAGGCCATATTAATGGTTCCCACAAGGAAGACCTTGCAAATTGCTATAAATCATCTCTGAAGCTGGTGAAAGAAAATAACATCCGATCAGTGGTAAGAACATCTATGTTCCTTATAGGCCTTTACAGCCTTTTTGTTTTAGAAATAGATTGTGTTGGAAAAGAAGTTGGAAAACATTTCCAAAACTTTGAAAACTAAGTTGAACAATCTTGGTAAATTGCAAAAAGCTTGTTTGGTTCTCATAAGTTTACTCTTCAGTATGTCTTAAAGTTTTTCTAAATGTTTTTCTTGGTTATGTTGGATTTTGAAACTATAGGATTCCCAAACTGGGATCATTTACTTTCTTCTGCTTATGTTTCCATTGATCTCTATTTATGGCTTTTTATTTGCTTTTTAGAATCTTTAAGTAGTTATACAAAGGAGTTTCAATTCAACACTGACTTATTTTTTGAAGGCAGTAAAGATGGTATGAGGCACCAAAATATTTAAACAAGGAAAATGCCAGTGGTGAATTTATTATAAAACTGTAAATTTATTATATATTGACAGTAAGTTACACATACATATATTTGTGACTATATATGCTACTTCTATAATTATTCATTTCTTAGAAATTTACTCCATGTGTGCTTTTAGCTGAACATTGTTATTTTTTCTAGATTCATTTTACCCATCTTAAATTGTATTGCAAAGTATGCCACATTCCTTCTAAATTTTATCAATATAGACAGAATTCAGAAAATGTGGCTCTAATCTATTTCCTTAACAGTAGGCTGAGATGAAAGCTTCTCTCTTCTTAACTGGATTTGAGGTATTTATCCAACTGCTTTCCTTTTGCAGCATGTTCTAATGTTATTATGTCTCAATTACACTAGGAAAATAAAACTATGGGAATAATGGAGTATAAATAGCCAATAGTAAGTTAATTTGGCAAGTATCTCTTGGTTTTATTTTTTCACAGATTATAACCTTATGGAAATTGTGGAGCAGAGAGAAATTTAAACAATTCATAGTTGGCTGACTAGATCACCTTTATTTGAGAGTTCACAAAAATGTGATTGTATTGTTTGCAAAGAGAAACACTGAGAATCACTCACATTTAAACAACTCTAGTGTGCTGGGAAGGTGGCTCAGTGGTAGAGCGCTTGCCTTACATGCATGAAGCCCTGGGTTCAATTCCTCAGCTCCACATAAGCCAAAAAAACCCCAAAAAACCAGAAGTGGTGTCTTGAGCTGAAGAGCTGAGGGACAGCGCCCAGGCCCAGAGTTCAGGCCCCATGACCGGACCCCCCCCCAAAAAAAGAAGAAGTGTTTTTATTAGCATTGGTGAGTTTTCTAAAAATAAGAAAACTTTTTCATAGTTAATTATAGCCTCTTTAATCTTTGCATAATTAATAAGAGAACTTGATATTTTATTTTGCCTTTTGATTTTTAAAATTTTTAAATTGATTTCAAACAAATCAATACATAAGATTTTGTTCTGCCTTAGAGAGCAGAAAGCTGAAGTTCAGAAAGAATTAGCTATTAAACCATAATTTATTCTTTATAGGAAATAAGGAAAATTGAAACAGGTGTGCACATTCAGGGAATAATTAAAGTTTTGTCAGTATGACGTATTTATTTTTGAAAGACAAGGGGCTAAAATTCTTGGGAAAAAAAGAATATGTACAGAAGTTTCCAATTTGGAAAAACAGATTTTTCTTAAATGAAGAGAATTTGCTAATGAATTTACTAGAATCACTAATAATACAGATTGAAAAACCAAAATCAAACTAAGGCTTACATTTGAAAGACTATAAAAATGGCAGTATTATGTTAATAATAAAATATTCCTAACTATAATCATCTTAAGTAATTGTTCCTGCTTATAATACTACTTACTGCTATTAGATAAGGGGTGAGAATTAGGGACTTGGTTAACTTTCATTGCATGGTCTGTACATGGACTGAAGAGTACTTTATCATTCTGTGATTTGAATTTGGTCTAACTTACTATCTTTGATGTTAATTTTGAAAGATCACTTATATATTACTTAAATCAGGTTAGCAGGTGATATTGAACTGAATTAATTCTAATATTGGTAAATAAAAATAGAGATGGAAAATATGTTTGAAATATGAAGTAATATGTCCATCATGTTCTTGCATGGTTGGCCAGAGCTGTGATTAAATGTCTCATTTCTTATTTTAAAAAATCCTTCCTTCTTTCCTTCCTTCCTTCCTTGCTTCCTTCCTTTCCTTGTTCTTAAGGAAGCAATAGGGCTTTCTGTTCAAGTTGATGTGCCATGTTCTTAACTAACATTAGTTAAACATAGTGCTAAAATCACCAAATTCTCACTAGTTTGAGGTGAGGAAGATTCTAAAAGTGGAAAAATGTTTTACAACATAGACTTGCACTTGGTAGACTTGCCACAATAGATGTGTAGGTGTGGTTGCTATAACTTTTCATGGCTATAAAGATAGAAAATGAATTCAACTTTTATTTCTTTATAATGAAGAAAATGTTTTTAAACATCAATTCAAGTGTCTTAGTGATCATTCCTCCAGTAATCAGTGTATGACTATGGACAAGTAATGTCAAAATTTTGTAGCCTTAGTTTCCAGATTTTTTTTGTCAGTTATGGGACTTGAACTTGAGGCTTGGGTGCTGTCCCTGAGCCTATTTGTGCTGAGGGATAGTGCTCTACCAACCACTTGAGACACAGTGTCACTTCCAATTTTTGAGTGGTTAATTGGACATAAGAAAAAAAAGTGGGACTTTTCTGCCTTGGCTGCCTTTTCAAACTGGGATCCTCAGATAACAGCCTCCTGAGTAAGTAGAATTACAGGCATGTGACACTGATACATGGGTTCCCAAATACATTCAATTAGAAAATTGCTACTGTTGTCTATGCCTGTTTAACTCAAAAGGCTATTGTAAGATTCAGTTGAGATAATGAATGTAAGATAATTGAAAAAAATGGATTTTTGCATAAAAGTATACACTGTATGTTTTTCTTACACTTTACCACTTTGCAATTTGGGACATGGATATCATTCATGCTATGATATATAATCTGTATTGCATCATTTGTTAATGCTGTGTGTGTGTGTGTGTGTGCACGCGCGCACACACACACACACACCAGTATCAGGGCTTGAACTAAGGGACTTGCCCTTGCACTTTTGGCCAACCTTTTCACTTATAGCTCTACCACTTGAGCTACTCACATAGTCATTTTGCTGGTTAATTAGGTCTATTGTCTCATGGACTTTTCTTCCTGAGATGGCTTTGAACTGTGATTCTCTATATCTCAGCCTTCTAAATAACTAGGATTACAAGCATGAACAAGCAATATTTGAGTATTTCTAATGTTTTAAAGCCAAAATAAATTATAAAATATAAGCTTCAGTTAGTAAGTCATATATAGTTAGGCAATTACAACTGTTGCTAAAATTCTTAAAATCATCTTAATCATAATCCTGAATAGTATAGTGTTAAAAATTGCCAGATCATTAACAATAGCACAGTTTGCTACTCCGTAGATGAAATGAATTAAATTACGTTAATTGTACCACAACCTGTAACTTGGCGACTTTCAACCTTTTACATGTAAATTTGTACTCTAGTTTCTAATCTTTGAAAATATCATCACATTATGCTTTCTTTCACTATATATTGCTTGGTAGGATAGTTATGACAATGAGTGAACTGTCAATAGTTAAGTTGGGATAGCACACACGTAAGAAAGCAGCTATGAGACATGACAAGTACTGTGATGGCATACATTAATTTGTTCTGCATCAGCTAGGTTGTGCTATGGCTACATATAACCACAAAATCACTGGTTGATGGGCAGTTCATCATACACATGTCTGCTCTGAAATTCATAGCTTCCTCAGTCACAGAGCAGATAATGTGCAAACTCATACATGCATTTTTACTGCCCCTGTATAGAAGGGATGCATGTAATTCTGATTGTTTCATTGGCCAAACTGTTCACAAAGTCATACCTACTTTCAAAGGGGCCAGGAAATTACCCAGGTATTAATAAACTGTTCAATTGGTACTATTGTTTCCATTGAAGTTGAAGTCTTCATGATCACAGCAGAGGGGTCTGAGAAATCTATTTTTACTCTAATTTTACTAGAGAAATAGATTAATATAAAACAGATACTATCATTTATTTGTTGAATAATCACTAGTAGGTATATATTAGTATTATTTATTAGTAATGCCATAACATTATTAGGTAGCTTCTAATACTTGGAGAAACAATTACTATCTTCAAACAAACCCCTCAGGCCATTGTATGATTTGAGGGTGACCTATAATTCATTAGTTTAATTATCTTTCCATGGTTGCCTGAAATTTCATAATTAATGAAGAGTTTGTAGTGGTCAGGTATTGTTACTTTTTTGTGATTTTTACATTCAGTGCACATACTCCACTGATAATTAATTTCCTAGTACTTTGCACATCATTTTTCACTTTGGTGGAAAATTAGGACATAGTAGCTATTTTAAAAATGCCTTCACTGATGAAACCTGGTGCTCACAGTTTACATTCTTTGAGTGATGACATGCAATATGACATTAGATGTTTTATTAAAGAAATAATTATACTCTGAATATCAGGTTGATTTTATTTAGATGTGAGATTATGTTCTCATGGCATATAACTAACCATTGATATATCCATTTAGTGATTGTATGTGAATATGGCAGGCTACAACTGAATGTTTGTTTGAATGGTATATGTTACCATAATTTTCCCAAGAGCATCATGCTAGATGATTTATTGAATGGATTGCAAATTTTCAGTGGTAGAAGTAACTAAGAGGCATCCAGTAGAGATCCTTCAAAGCTAGATGATGTTCCTTTGTCATATATCCTAGGTCTTGATAGAGTAAAAGCTTCTGGTATAACAGACCACAGACCTATGACTCCAGGGCCATCTCTGGGTGTTGCAGCAGAGAGCACATTTGGTCTGCATTTGTTTCACTCTAGTGTAAGTTTTCATTTTAAGACGTAGTCAAGTGAATCTTATTTTCTTATACAAGTTCTCTTCGGAGAGGGTTGCCATGGCAATGAATTCTCAGCCTGAAATTCTT